CTTTAATATCTTTCTCCCCATCTGCAGTGAGGAGACCAGGTGCAGGGCATTCGGGGCGCATGGGGCACAGGAGGCTGGCAGGCCTCCACCCCTGGGAATGTTTGCTCTGTCTGGGCTCTCTGGCCTCTTCCTGGTCTCTTTGCTGCTCTCCACTGCGGTGTCCAGCAAAGGGGTCCTGGGCCCCCTTCCTTACATGCTCAGTCACTGGCTCAGGGGCACCCACACAGGCCTGTCAGCACCACAGCCTAGGTGTTTCCATCAGGCCTGCGTGTAAGATCACAGGTGTGGCTCACAGGTGCTAATGGGGGAGGGCAGAGAACCTGACGCTTCCCCTCACCTACAGAGTCTATGACCTTGTAAGACTGTGTGTGCAGAGATCCTCAAATGAAAATGTTCACGAATCAAGCCCTGGACAGAGGTCTGGGTGCACAAGAGGAGGGGCACAGCGCCCCCCAGGTCTAGGGGTGTGGCTCTCTGGGCTTGGGCCCCAAAGTTGTGTCTTGGGAGGGGAAGGTTCCTGTGGGGCGCCTGTGGGGACACCTGGCCTCAGGCTCTTCCCCCAGTGTTTCTCACCCCAGTTTCACTTGCCTCTTTCAACCTGTGTGGGGTCCTCCTTCCTGGATATTGGTGACTCACCCCATCTCTAAGTCCTCATTGCCTGGGGGTTTCTAGAGCAGCCAATGAGCATCTGGGGGCTCTGTACAGTCCCCACCCACTGGCCTCCTGGACTAGGATGCACCAGGGACTGGAGAGCTCAGGGAGGGCATGAATGCACTCATTGCTCCTGCTGCTGCTCTCAGGGGCCCTGGCCCTGACCCAGACCTGGGCAGGTGAGTGCCGCCCAGAGTGAACCCGCAGCACAGGAGGAGGAGCGAGGCTGCAGCTCCAGCACAGGACCCTGTAATGGCTCTTTTTTGCCATGGCCAGCCCTGTTGTCCCCCTGTGGGTCCCTTCCTATCCTGGCCCCTTTGGGTCCCTCCCAGTCTCTCTCCTCCTCTTTTGAGTCTTGACCCTTTGGCCTGCCCCATTTTCCCGGTCCCCGCGGGGTCCTGCACTGCAAGGAGGGTCAGCCGAGTCTCCCCCTGCCCCAGGCCCCCACTCCCTGAGGCTTTTCTACACCGCCATGTCCAAGCGCGGCCCCAGGGAGCCCAGCTACATCATCGTGGGCTTTGTGGATGACACGCAGTTCCTATGGTTCGACATCGACTCTCCAAGTCAGAGGCTGGAGCCGCGGGCGCCCTGGGCAAAGCAGTTGGATCCTGAGTTCTGGGAGCAGCAGACACAGACCCTGAAGAACACTGCACCGACTTTCCGACAGAGACTGCTACATCTGTGCCAGAGCTACAACCAAAGCCAGGCCGGTGAGCAGCCGGGCTCCATCCTCCTCCCCACCGATGGATAGGGGTGCGGAGGGAATGGGCCGGGAACCCAGACTCCAAGTGTGCTCAGCACCCCAGCCTGCCCGAACCCTCCATCCTGAAGGAGCCCGAGGGCCTCTGTGCCCTGTGGTTTCAGAGTCAGTGTTGGTTTATTGCTGGCAGGAGGGCAGGGTGGGGTGACCAC